TAACGGGAGGGAAAAGACCAACCGTCTGGCTGCTGACAGTCAAGTGACTTGTGGAGTTGTAGGCCAGCAAGCTGGTACAGGAGATTGACCTCAAAGCAAGGAGAACCTTGAAGTTACACTGGATCACTGGTTCTCAACCAGGGACTGCGTTCCCCCTGGAGGATACCCTGCAATATCTGGAGGCATTTGGGGGTGTTATAACGGGGTGACATTTAGTGGGTCAAGCCCATGGAGGCTGCTAAAAGCAGCCCAGCCCCCCAAACAAACAACTATCTACCTCAAAATGTCCATGCTACCAAGCTGGAGAAAGCCTAGACAGGCTCCTTCTGATCGTGGTTGTTTGTTTGTTTTTAACAGTGGCTTCTAAACATAGTTTATCTGTTATATCTATAACAAGAAACACATTTTACATGAGCTCCATCCAATATACATAAGGCAACACATACTCATTAAACTGAAATGAACCATTCCTGAAATAGCACATATTTACTGTGTGCTATGTACTCTGATCATTTCCTATCTCATTGCATGAAAAACAAACCAAACCATGCTTGCCCAACATATCCTGTGAGGGTAATAGCACATGTTGTACATGTCCAATGAATAATAGGAGTGAGCAGGTGACAGCAATCCGGAGACCTACCTTTTGCCCCGGCACACCTGGGCCACCAGGTAAGCCATCCAATCCTGGGCGACCTGGAGTCCCTGGAGCACCCACATCTCCTGGCAGGCCATCAACACCTGTTTGGGAAAGTCAAAAAGTCACAAACATTCGTGCTGTAATATGATAGTTCACTTTCTTCACTTCTTTTACACTTGCTCACAGGTACCTGAACGAACGAACGTGGGAGGGTCCACCACAGTGAACCCCTTTCAAGGGGGCTCTAAGAGGGAAGACGAGGCCATGCGGCTGGCTGCTCATGGAAGAGGCCAAAAGGAAGAGGCCACCGATAGAAGCACTGCTATTCCCAGAGCCTGCAAACCCCCTCTTCTTTTCTCACACCTGTCTTCCCCTCTTCCTTTCTGTCATTTTCTACTTAAAAGTTTTTCTTTCTGTCCTGCTCCACTGGACAAAGCACAGTTCAACACGCTGAGATCCAGGTCTCCGCAGTCTCCTCGTCACCGTGTTAGGGATGTAGAATGTGGGCACCTGGCTAAATGACTCCGCCCGGCACTGTAACACAACTCCGTGCAAACTGGTCACCCTCTCATGTTTGTTGGGAGGCCCTGCTTTAGACCACTGGTTCTCAAACTGGGCTGCAGTACGTACACAGGAACCATCGCAGGGGTGTAGGTTTAAAATGCCTGGGCCCTGCTACAAATGGTCATATGGGCTTTGGAAAGCTGTCTGTATTAACCCATCAAGTGGAGGCCGACTCAGTGTCGGAGTAGAACTGTGCTCCACAGCATTCCCAACGGCTGATTCTTCAGAAGTGGATCCCAAGCCCTTGCTTCTGAGGTGTGCGCAGCAACCACCAACTTCCTAAGGAACGTCTCAGGCCTTACACACGCTGACCCAGCCAAGAACTCGAGGCAGGTCTAATGCGCGGTGACGTTTGAGAACCAGGAACGGTGGGACTAGCCAATGGAGAGAGTCTTCTAAGGAGTAGACCTAACTCCCCCGCCCCCCCAGCAGCCTTGTCCCCAGGTCCCTTTCTTGTTCACTATCGACGAGTATGGACAAAGGGCTTCTAATTCAGGAGCCCTTTATGGCAGTGCGGCGCTCTGATGGTGGCGGTGTTGGGCATTGGGCTGCTAGGCACAAGGCCAGCAGTTCAGCACCACTCACAGCTCTGTGAGACAGATGGGCCTTTCTCCTTCGTGAGTTTTTGGAATCCCAGGCGGCCGTTCTACCCTGTCCTGCAGACTCACTGTGAGTTGGCACGGGCTCGATGCGGGGCGGTGTTACTTGTGTGCTCTTTCCCACGGGGGTGATCTGGGATTCATATGGAATATGGTGGCATACATGACGTGGGGTCTGGAGAAGATTGTAACGTTGGTGTCATGGCTCTCTGCCCTTTAAAGCAGAAAGAAGCCGCCATGTGTGTGGTTCACATCATGCGGCTCTCTGAAGGAGAAAGCAGCTGTCTCTGTTCTCCACATGTGAAGGCCTAGGGAAATGAGAGGGGATGCGATGGGGCGTCCCGGGAGACAGAGACCGTGTTGGCAATGGCCTGCATGGAGTCTATGGGAAGACCGCGAAGGACTAAAACAGGAAAATGGTCCTCCTAGTAGTTCTCAGCATGGAGTAAGGAATGTACTAAAATTGTTGACACCCTGTCAGAATTCAGGGCCTATATTTTGCTTTTATTATCCCCACGGCCACCCCTTGGGGTCTCCCCCTGCCTCATCGACCGATCCTGGTGGGTGGGTCCTGGTGGGCTGTTTTCTCTTCACCCACCAGGACCCACCACTTTGCAGAGTGGGTTGTCAACAAACACAGCTTCTGCAAGGACTGCCAGGAGCCTTGTCTTGTGGCCCCGAGCGCCAGATCTTATTTCTACCACTCCACGCTGAAGCCCGCTTCACCCACTGCACCACGCAATCCACAACATTATTCCTAAAACTTCCCAGACTCTTCTAAACACGTCCACTGCGCACCTTCACTAACTCACGTAGGGTTGCTACAGCTGTGGCCCCTCAGATTTTTCTCAGTGAATTCACGTGAGGGAGAAAGGAAAGCTCATCTCCGTGTGAGATAGTTAAGGCTTATTGTGCCAACCTGGCCGATACACACATGTGGGGTTAATTGAAGGGCGGAGAGATAAATGGTTCAGTGAGCCTCGCCTCTCTCGTTCTCAGGTCTCCTGCTCTCTGATGGTCGGACCAGGGTGCAGCTGCCTTAGCCAGTTCCCTGCTTCAACTTGCAAGGCTCACTTCCTGCAAGACATCCCTGAGGAGAAGCTGCATGGACCTACCCCGATGCAGCCCTGGGTGCTGGAGCAGCCGTGTGGAGACCCCTGCCAGCACTGAGATACTTACACGCTCACTGATTCGGCTTTCCTCCTGTAGTCCGCATCACTGCGTGTGTTTTGTGGGATTGAGGAGGGCTTTGTAGATTGGTGTTGGATATATGGGCTAATGTCGGACTTATGGGCTTGGGCAGCACTGGGTTGGGATGGTTTCTGAATGGACACTTACCCTTTATATAATACTCTCTCTTTTATATATATATGCGTTTCTGTGGCTTTGTTTCTCTAATGTACCCAGACTAACACACCGTGACTGAGCAGCTAGGGAGCTGAAGCCATAGCTTGGGGTTGTGCTGGCCAAGGGTCGGAGGAATGGATCCACTCACAGTCAGGCGTATCCTAAAGATTTACCTTTGGGGCCCGGAGGTCCTGGAAATCCGATGCCTGGCTGGCCAACAGTACCCTTCTCTCCTGGGAGTCCTGGCCTCCCTGGGGTTCCAGGAAATCCTCTGTCACCTATTGTGAGAACAGCAAATGGTCAACTTAAGCACAGATCAAAAACAGAGATTTTCACATCCTATCTCCAAGTCTAGGGGACATTTCTAAAAGTACCTTGGGGTCCTTGTAAACCCGGGGACCCTGGGAACCCTTCAGCTCCAGGAGGTCCAGGTAAAGGTACGGTCTTGCCTGCTTCACCCTTTGGGCCTGGAAAATACAAAGAAGACACATGAAGTAGGTGAGCTACAGAATCCCATCCTCTTCCCCAGACGAAACTCATTGCCATTGAGTGGGTGCCAGGTCATAATGCCCCTATAGGACAGGGTAGAACTGGCCCTGGGGGTGTCTGAGACGGTTAACTCTTTATGCAAGCAGAAATTCCAGTCTTCTCCCCAGGAGCAGCGGGTGATTTTGAATGATGGACCTTCCTGATCACCGCTATGCCACTTGGGCTCCCTCAATACAACCCCTTAAAAATGGTATGCTATGTGACGTGATTGAAATATGGAATGATATATGTATTAAATCCCAACTAACAAAATGGTACGCTAGTAGACTTAGAGAAGCCTCGGTCTCCATGTTTCCTTTCCTTCCTCTACTTTCTAGAATCTTTCAGAGAAAGTTAGTCCTGCCCCCAAATGCCAGTCCAAAAATAACCTGTGTCTTATAAAAGTCACAGAAATCTAAATATTCTACAATAACAAATAACGACATGTCCCCGCGTGATTTTTTAGTGAGCCTCGCTCAAAAAAATAAACATTTTCTCTGTTTCTCAATTTATCAGCCTGTCATCATTTAAGTTTCTTGAGGCTGGCCTGCAGGTAAACTGCCTTCGTCCTGTAACAAGCGGTTGCTGACATCTGGCCTGTAACAGCAGTGGGCTGGCTCAGAGCGACCTGAAACTGCACAGGAAAGTCACCCCAAGGCAAGCCTCTCCCAGCCAGGCCACCACGATGGCCCAGTCATCTGGATGTGCATGTACTGCTTCAGGCATCCGCTGGGTGTCAGGATTTAGCTTTGAAGAGAGGCTCAGCCAGCCAGTCTCAAGAAGATGTCCCTTGTACCAACCAAAGAATTCAAAATACTTAGGGTCTCCCGGTAACAATGCATGCATTCTGTAGCTTTGGATTATGGTAAGTCCATGTTTGCTATCTGATATATTCTAGGGAGACTGCTGTTTAGATCACAGAGGCAGGCGGGAGTACAGCAGATGAAAAAGTAATGTTCTAATCTGAAAAGTGTATTGGGTCTGGAAAATCAAGGGACCCTCTAAGATGTCAATGACTGAAGAATGGTACTGTCAGCAATCCCTCCCTCAGGAACCTTCTCTCTGCCCAGTGCCAGGAGAGAGCCTTCCTGTGGCTTGTCGGTTGCCGGTCAGCTGGCTCATGAACCTTCAGGGATGACAGAATGAACATCGACTCATCGGGTACTGCCCCCGTGATTGTTGGGATGTGGAAGCCCATATACTTAAAAGGACACCAGTTCATTTTCAACCCGCCAAAGAACCAACAGAAAACCCTAATTCCTTTTTCTAACTTTGAACGTTTACAAGATTCCACCAGGACACAGAACAATTGATTTGTTGAAACCAGGAGCTATGAGGAAAGGGATCCCAGACCTCTTTCCAGCTAACTGAGAGTCTCTCTAAGTCCACTCCACTATTTCTGTGCCCCTCAAATCCAAAAACCAACCTTACTACCACTGAGTTGCTTATAACGCATATCAACCCTGTGGGATAGAGTAGAACAGTGGTTCTTAATCTTTAGGTTGCCACCCCTTTAGGCGTCACCCAATTCATAACACTAGCAAAATGACAGTGATAAAGTAGCAATGAATATAATTTTTATATTTGGGGGGGTCACCACAACATGAGGAACTGTGTGAAAGGGTTGCGGCATTAGGAAGGTTGAGAACCACTGGAGTAGAACTATGCTTATAGATTTCAAAAGCTATAAATCTTTATGGGAATAGACAACCTCATCTTTCTCCTGCAGAAGGGCTGCTGGTTTAGAACTGCTCAACTATTTACCCACGATGCCACCAGGGCTCCTTCGGTGCCCCTAAAGAAGTGGTAACAAAAGCAACATTGCCGAGAGCGTTGCTAAACAAAGAACCATGATCAAAGGAGTCATAACTTGGTGCTAGATGTTCAGTGTGTATATAAACAATGAGAATGAGAATAATGAAACAGTAACACGGGATTGAAAATGCTATAGAATTAGTCCAGAGTCCATTACATCAATACCACTGAGTCGAGTCTTACTCCTAGTGACCGTGTGGGACAGAGTGCAACTGCCCCACACGCTTTCCAATGCCAGACTCTCTATGAAAGCAGACCACTGCAGCTTTCTCCTGCAGGTGGGTGGTGGCTCAGAACACTAAACCTGCTGGTTAGCATCCAAGGACTTCAGCCACTGTGCCCCCAGCCTCCTTACGTTTGTAATACCTCTACCTACAAGCCTGCCTTTCACTGATAGGTATATTGTGTGCTTAGTTATAAGTGAAAACAAACAAACCCACAAACCCCACAAACTTACTGCCATCGAGTTGGCGTTGACTCACAGTGATAGGATATATCACTGTGACGTTTAGGATAGGATAGGCCTGTCCCTGAGAGTTTCTGAGATTTTAACTCTTTACAAGAGTAGAAAGCCCTGTCTTTCTCCCGTGGAGCAGCTGGTGGTTTTGAACTGCTGACCTTGCTGTTAGCAGTCCAAAGGTATAACCACTGGGTCACATCTATAAAACCAGCTATTCTTTCAGCAAGGTCTTAGGGATTACTGGGTCATCTGGCTCATTCTACATTGAAGACAGTGAGCATGCACCATTCCTTAGTTCTTTAATGATTCTCCCCTTCCCACTATCATGACCCCAGTTCTACCTTACAAATCTGGCTAGACCAGAGCTTGTACACTGGGACAGATAAGAGTTCTCGACACATGGAATCCAGGACAGATAACCCCTCAAGAACAGTCATGGGAGTAGTGATACCATGAGGGTAAAGGGAAGGTGGGGGGAAAAGGGGGAGAAAGGGGAACCAATCTCAATGATTGACATATAACATACCCCCACACCCAGGGGGATGAACAACAGAAATGTGGGTGAGGGAGACAGCTGACGGCAGTGTCCGATATGAAAACAACAATGATTTATAATTTATCAAGGGTTCATGAGGGTGAAAGGGTGAGGGAGGGAGGGAAAAAAGAAGAGCTGATACCAAGGGCTTCAGCAGACAGAAAAGGTTTTGAAAAGAATGATGGCAACATATGTACAGATGTGCTTGACACAGTGGAAGCATGCATTGTTATAAGAGCTGTCAGAGCCCCCAATAAAATAATGTTCTGAAATGTAAAAGCAAGAAAAAGAAGAAGACTCATTAAGGTTACCATCCACTTCCTGCAAGAACTGACACCAAAGCCATGCTGCCTGCCTTTCTGACCCTAGTAGTCTCTGTGAGGCCCTCACGTCGCTCCGCAACAATTCCCAAGCCTCACCTGGGAGGCCTGGGGATCCAGGGTTTCCAGGAAAGCCTGCTTCTCCTTTGTCTCCAATTGGGCCCTTAGGACCAAACCCTGGTGGACCAGGAGGGCCGATATCCCCGCGACTTCCAGGGAAGCCAACTCCTCCGGGAGGGCCGCGTTCTCCTTTGGAGCCTATTGAACCCTGAAAACAAACAAAAAATGTACAGACAAAACGTCGTCAATCCACAGAACAGTCACTCCTGTTCATACCAATCCCCCAGCCTGCTGTGGTAAATAAATACTGGAGTTCAACTGTCTCACACTCATTTACTTTGTCAATCCCATGTCAAAAGTCAGCATGTGGTTAATGAATAAAACCAGCATTTCCGCCCACCCCCCTGAGAACTTAGAAAGAATTTCCCCATCCTACACAAGGAGCTACAGCAAAGAACAAGTTCTTTAGACCATGTTTTTCTTTCTTAAAGGATCACTTTTCATTTCACCTCCCCACCCAAACAGCTAAACCCTTCCCATTACCTCCAGACATCAGCTAATTCTGATCTGTTACCTTCTAATTGATACTTAGGGTTTTAGACTCGGGTTTTCCTATGAGTCAAACTCATTTATGAAAGTCACCATCTGGACCCTTTATGGAAAAATACATCGATTCGGTCGAAACAATTCATGTATTTTATTCTCTGCAGATCCCTTTGCACTATACCGAAATAGTGGCAGCATGTGCAAGTATGGAAATAAACATACCGGTGAGCCTTTGGGGCCAGGAAGACCCGGATAGCCATCTTTTCCAGGGGACCCTGCTCTTCCAGGCATCCCGGGCTGCCCTGGAAATCCTGGGTTTCCTTTTTCACCTTTGAGTCTCATGTCAAACAACAACTCCCCTGGTTCTCCCTTAGCTCCTGGATAGCCTATGAGCCCCGGTGAGCCTTGTGGCCCCTGCAACAAGAAAGCGTGATGAATATATCCACCCAGGTAACAGACCAGGGCAACACAATCAACATGGCAATACATCTAGATCTCATCGTTCACGTTCCAGCAAGCAAGCCACTCGCTCGTGACCACAGCTCTATCTCGCCCCACTACTTGTGTCTTCTTTGCAAACCACTTCTATAATGCATATAAACCCTGCTCCCATCGAAGTGAAGCCCATCCATAGAGACCCTACCAGACACGGTAGAACTGCCCCCTGTGGGTTTCCAAGACTGTAAAGCTTTACGGGAGTAGAAAACCCCATAAATACATACATAAAATATATACTTTTACTATGTATAATATATGCAAATACACACATGGCATCCCACAGAGGCCTGATCGTGGAGATAGAGGGAGTCACACAGAATGCCGCTGCATCCATAGCTGCTAGAATGGCCCTTAGATTGCATTCTTTCCCCGAACTGTTCAACATTCACAAGCGCATTTTAGCAACTCTTAAAGAAAAAGTTTAGCACAGCCTTTCTTACAGAGGTGCTGGATTTTCGACTTCTCAGGACCCAAGAACTAGAGAAATGGCTTCTGGGTACAGGTAGTGGTAGAGTCAAAGTGGGTTGAGAACAGCAATGTTGTTGTTTTTTCTAAATCTGCTCAGCAGTGGGAGTCCCTGACTGGAACAAATTGTCAGCATGCTCAGCTGCTAACTGGAACCCTGGAGCTGCTAGTCCATACAGAGGTGCCTCGGAAGGTAAGGGCTGGCGATGTACTTTCAGAAAGTCCTCATGTGAAAGCCCTACCAAGCACACCCCCACCGTGACACATGGGGATGCCAAGGGTCAGAATCTACTATGCGTGTTTCCCAAAGTGGGTGGGACAGCCCCCTGGGGGCTGCCGGAATGCCCGGCCCCTGCAA